TAAAATATCTGCAGGGTATAAAATTAAACCTGTAGCTAAATTTATTAATATTCCGACCACGACTCTGTACAGATATTACACCAAATTACTCAGAGCGAAAATATTTCACTGATATCCATGAGAAGCTCTTACAACTTACAATGTTACAATAAACATCTTTTATTGGGTTTTAAATAGCCATTGTCCATTGTGCCCTATAAATGGGTCCTTGTGGATTTTTTTTTATTGGGTTGTTTGGGCTATTGTCAGATGTGTAGCACCTGTAGCACTGCGACCTACATAGATCTATTGTGCTCGCCCTTTTCAGAGTTCGCTACCTAGACCCGTCAGGGACAAGAATTGAAGGATATTCTTAGGAGCGATCGTTTTTATCTCCTCGGGAAAGAGTGTAAACTTTCCAAATGAGATATTTCGTTTATGCATGAGTGGGCTACAACCACATAGGATGTGAAGCGGCGTTTGCTCTTCAGTTTGGCAGAATCTGCAGATACTTGTCGTGCATAGGCCTAGTTTAGCCATATGCTTGTTTAATTTGCAGTGTCCTGTGAGGGCCCTAGTCATCATGCACATGTTGTTTTTACTCAATAGCAGAAGTCTATTGGAGTATTTGTTCGAGAAGCCATATTAGGTCTTTTGAATGTGTTAAACCTGGCATTTCTTGCCAGTGATTCAGTGCTTCTCGTTTGGTTATTAATTTTAGATGTCCCAGTTTTAGGCAACGAGGCACACCACAGAAGGGTTCGGGGCCCAGTTGGATGGTTTTTGCCCCTAACTTTGCCAGATGGTCGGCATTCTCATTGCCTTCAATATTTGAATGCCCGGGGACCCAAATCAGTGTAATATTATTTCTGCTTCCTACTTCATTTAGTAGCAGGATGCAGTTTCTAATAAGTTTAGAACGGATTTCGTACGAGTTAAGTGCTAGTAGAGCAGCTTGACTGTCCGAATAAATGTATATATTCTGATTGATGTAGTTAAGGCTTAGGATTATTTCCAGACATCTAATTAATGGCGTAAGTCTCGGCCTGAAAGATTGAGGCGTATTTTCCTAAGCCTATATATTTGCAGATTTTGGGTTTAACACCGCATATTCCACATCCTACATCATCTCCTATTTTGGACCCGTCTGTAAACCAAACTAGGTCATGCTCTGAGTGAGTCGGTGTATGGTTATTTTGCCATTCGTCTCTTCCAGATATTTCGATTTTGTAATATTGTACAAAGTTACACTCTGGTGCCATGTTGTCTTCAGGCATTCCCAGAATAGGATCACTCATTATCGAGTCTTGTATAGTTTTTATGGCCAGGGAATGCCAAGATATCCTCTTTTGGGAACTTATTCTTATTAGGCACATTGATTGAAGTAGAAAAAGTATAATCCATCACATTTAAAATAAGTATTGTTGCTAAGTAACAGTTTGTATGTAACGTGCAACTGCAATCGGAACGAAGTAAATTATATTTACAACTGTATACGTAATCCACTCAATATCTCTATCATATTAGGCACATTGATTGAAGTAGAAAAAGTATAATCCATCACATTTAAAATAAGTATTGTTGCTAAGTAACATTTTTTATGTAACGTGCAACTGCAATCGGAACGAAATAAATTATATTTACTACTATATATGTAATCCACTGAATTTTGGTATATACTTTTGGTATATATACCGCCGTATACAATATATAATTACATTTACAACTGTATACGTAATCCACTGAATATCTGTATCAATTCTGAGCATATTGGCTTTCGCCTTTTCCTGTATAAATAAAGGAAGGGGCGTCAAGTCCAATAATGCGTCTAGAGCTGCTCCCGGCGTGGGTCATGGGTCCTGTAATAATCAGACAAGCAATTCTCTGTAGGCTGTTTAGCTTGGTGGCAGCTGTGGATTGGAGGGTTTTCCGCCACCAGATTGCGCAGGCATAGGTGGTAAGCGGTCTCACCACTGCTGTGTAAAGCCATAGGGCAATGGGGTTAATTCCCCATCTGGGCCCCGCTACCCGTCGGCTTATTCCTAGGGATGTTTTCGCCTTTTGAGTTATGTTATCTATGTGTGTGTTCCATGTCAGTTTTTGGTCGAAGGTTACGCCCAGGTACTTGACTTCTTTGGAGCACTCTAATATTCTTCCATTTACTTTAGGCATGACAAGTTTGTCAAGTTTCTTCCTTTTTGTACAACAATTTGGAACAATTACTGTTTTATCAGGATTTACTGATAATTCATTTTCCTTACACCATTTAACTATGATGTTTAGTGCTCTTTGGATGCGGTCTGATATTGTTGTTGCACAGAACCCTCTGACCATGACTACTAAATCGTCTGCGTAGCCTTGTACCTCAAATCGGTTTTTGGTCATAACATCTAATAGCTGGTCTACCGTCAGTACCTACAGCAGTGGCGATAAAACGCCTCCTTGAGGACATACTTTGGTAGGTCTGATTTCTAACGTACTGTTATGAAGAGTAGTTTTAATGGTTCGATTTAAGAGCTTTGCTTTGATCCATTGAGTGGTGGTTTCATCCACTTTCTTGCGGATGAGTCCCTGTGACATGGTCTCTATGGGCGTGTTATCAAAAGCACCCTCAATATCGAGAAATGCACATAGAGCTATTTGTTTGTCCTCAAAGGCCTTCTCGACCTTGTCGGTGAGTTCTAGCAAGGCGGTCTCTGTGGAATGTCCCTTGCGGTAGGCATGTTGATTCCTGTCCTCGAAAATGCTCATTTTCGAGGATTGTAGCTCTAATGTATTAGTCCAGAACCTTTTCCATGGTTTTTATTATGAAAGAGGTTAGGCTTATAGGTCTGTGAGACTTTGGCTGCGAGTAGTCTCTTCGACCGGTTTTCGGCACGTAGGTAACTTTGACCTTCGTTAATGGTTCTGGTATAAAGCCCCAGGCAAAGCTGGCTCTAAATATTCTTACCAGATAGGGAGATAGGATGTCAAGCCCTTGTTGTAACAGGGCCGGGAAAATTCCATCTTCTCCCGATGATATATATGGCTTGAAAGATTTTATAGCCCATATAATTTGTTTTGGTCGAAAAATCCTCGCAGCTCTGTTCCACGCCTTATGGTTGGGCTTTTGTAGATGTGAGCTTGGAGGGTTCCAGGACCGAACCGATTCAGGGAAGTGGGTTGTAGATAGCAGCTGTAGAGTTTCTTCCTCTGATGTCGTATAGGTACCATTGGGCCTTTTCATAAGTCCAATTTGGTTATTTGTCGCCTTGGCAAGCATTTTGTGTAATCTGGATCCTTGGGGAGTCTGAGTTATCTCCTCGCAGAAAGCACGCCATGATGCTCTTTTGGCTTTCCTAATTTCGCAGTAGTATTCCCTTTGGGCTTTACTATATTGGGCCCATTCGGTAGGTCCCTTTTTAGCCCTGTTGGATAATTTGCGAGTTTTCTTCCTCAGCTTTTCTAGACTATTGTTCCACCAGGGTGTTTTACATTTGGCGGTTTTGGTTTTGATGGGACAGTTGTTCTGGTAGGCACTTATTATGCCATTTAGAAGTATGTCCACAGCGAGTTCTAGTTCTAGAGGAGATTTAATACTCTTCGGAAGGTCCGCAATTAGGATTGTAAGACTGTCACTGTGGATACTTTGCCATTTAATAAAAAAACTTGATTATCTAATTACTAAGTATTTGTAAGGCTATTTTTGCAATGTTGTTTCAAACTTAAATATTACTTCTGAGTTTTCATTAAACCAATAATCAATCTGGAGCAGAAAAGGTGAAGTTATAGCACTTGTAAAAAAAAAAGTAACCTCTGTACCCCACACTCCCCTATATACTAGTGCTTCATTTCTTAAAACCCATTCCTATGTACGTTCGCTGATATCAATTTTATTTACATAAGTGTACATAATTTTATATTTCGACTGATTGCCAGCAATGACAAAGGTAATCTTAATAAGGGTTGCGAAAAGGGATAAATATTACTCTGACAAACTGTTGACCAACTTTCAAGTGTGATAGGGACAAACTTTTGTCAGTGCAACTATTTCGGATCGTTTATTTCATGGTTAAATTTGTATTAAATGTTTATAATTATATGTTAATATAATATGCTAAACAACTTAAATATATGCCAAATCTAGCATAAAATATGCTAAATTTACAACACTGCATTTGAGCATATTTTTTAAGTAGTTTCATGACTTGGCTAAGAGTCATTTGTACTTTCTAACCAGAAAGTTACGGCTCTGGATATATATAAATTTAGGGCTTATCAACAAAATTAATTTCGTGATTTTTGATCTATTCTCCCGTCATTATCACAGTTAGTCACATGTGAGTGAAAGTCAAATAATCAAATATTTATTAATTTAAGTACCTATATTCATTAATAATCCAAATTTCGTGTTTAAATACTTAGATAAATTATATTTTGAAAAGTATTTCGAAGAATTTCGATCTCTCCACAGAGCAGAGAAGTAACTAGAAATAGTAAGTGGGCATAACCTTATAAAATATATGCTGCTTGAAAAGGAAAGTGAAAGCCATATTAAAATGAAAAATTAAATGTATTTTTTAATATATGTTAAAAGGTAAGACATAAATTTTGATAAAAGTAACTTTGTCTGTTTTCTTTTTAAGTGTCGTTTTCTACCTCTCTTAATATACATTTGAAAATACGATAAACTGATATATGTAGAAAGCTTTCAACTCATTTACACATACTAGAAATCACTATTCTTATAAGAAAATGGCGTTAGTTTAAAAAAAAAAATGATAAAGATTCAAACAAGAAAGTAAGCGTAGTTAGGGTTTACGGTAACGTTTACTTTAAACGTAAGATTCATCAACCATCAAATAATTAATATAGAAACAAACTTTATGGTAAGGTTAATATGACATATCCAGTTTGTACTATAAGTCTATGTTAGGTACTATTATATTTGGTTACTATAAGCCATGTAATAGAGGTTATTTTATTTGAGCAAATTCTGGGGAAAAGTATATTCCTCCACTGGCGACACTGCTTGACACGGTGGAAGTATTTAAAAAATAGTGAAATGGAAATGTGTCATTATCTAAACTAACAACAAAACTTTTCTGAGATTATTCCCTGATTATATTTGGTTTATTGAAGTTTTTAATTATAAATCGATAGAATATTTTATTTTCTAATATTATAGGATTAAGCCCATCTACATAATTTTGTTCAGCAAAGAGTACAAATAGACCATTGGACTATTATGGATCTGAGAGCCGCTAAATTAGCATTAGCTCGTAAAAAGGTAAATATTAACGTTTACCCAAGTAAAGTCAGTTAACGTAAAAGCCTGCTTTACCAAATAATATTGCTCAAAGACAAGAGACCAGATATATCGCTCCTTCACACTTAGCATATAGGAATGAAACAGGATAATATTATTAAATATTTTTATTAATTTATTTTTTAGTTAAAAGATCATCAAGTAAAAAAAAATGAGTCCACCCAAAAAGAAGAGATATTAATTCCGACAGAGTCTATTATACCACAGGATAATGTACACCAAATCTTTCAAGAACCTGAAATTATAATTAATCAACACAAAAACAATATAGAAGAAAATCAACATATAGAATCCTACAGTTTGGAACAAAGTATCCAGTCTCATGAACCAAATGTAAATGTCACAGAAATTCTGATTTCGCAGAAACGAAATCTTGAGATGCAAATCAATCAATTACAGAACAATTTAAACCAATTAGAAAAAGAATATGCAGTGATATTCAATAATTACAATGTATGTCAGCAGAAAAATTATAGTTTGGAGAGTGAGTTTAAAATCCTGAGTGATAAAATGAAATCAACAACAGAGCAATTGTATGAAAAAGATAAAATAATCATTGAATTGAAAAGTATTAAATCATCATTATCTGATCAACATAATAGTTTGTTAGAGCAATTAGAATTCACAAAAACAATGTTAACTACAAAGGAGACAGAAAATGCCTCACTTCATAGCCAACTTGCCAATGTTCAGAACCAATTGGAGGTAACAAGACTTCAACTTCAACAGTTAACAAATGGAATAAATACTGAAGTTATACATAATAACGACAATAGTCATCAAAATGAAATACTTTTACAAAAAATAGCAACTTTAGAACAGCAACTGAAAGGAGCACAAAAAGAAAAAGATCAGATTAGTATGCATTATGAACACTATGTAAATGACTTAAATAAGCAACTTAAGTCAACTATGATAAACAATGAAAATATGTCCAAAGAAATACAAACTTTATCTAACAGAGAGTCTAGTCTAATTGAACAGATTAGTGACATGGAAATTAGATTACAAAACTATAATGTGAATAAAGCTGTTAAAAATGATATAAAAAATGATACTAGCCTTGAGGAGGTAGAAAAGAATTATATTAAACTCCAGGTAAATATTTATACATATAGTTCGAAAACATACTATACTATATTCATTAAAATGAAATGAGCAACATGTTGATAGATTTGTTATTTCTTGTCATTTATTTTTTTAAAGTACACTATAGTATGTAAATGATGCATGAAAGTAACATGCACCATGTAATATAATAGGATGAAAATAAAGTCGAGGCACTAGTTCCTATTATTATTTCCTTCCATCTGCTGATAGTATTTGTAACTAGGAATAATATGTATAATTTGTGCTTTTTAAAAACTGCAATTTTTAAAATGTTTTGATTTCATTGTTTTCTAAGGTTTTAGGCTGGTAAGGTCAGAAGTTCATTTACCTTTATCATAATGTAATGGTAGAATAAATATATTATACTTTTAGGAATCATTACAAGAGCTTAAAGCTAAGTATGAGGAAATAAAAAAGAAATATTTAGCAAGTGAAGCTAAAGTAATAGAATTAAGTAAAGGACAGGAAGCTGAATGTAAACATGACAATATAAGTATAATGAAACTAAATGCAGATATTGCAAGTGATAAACTTGCTGCACAGAGAGCTACTGAGCAGAATAAGAAATTAAAAAGTGATATGCAGAATTTAGAAGAAGCATATGTCAAAATGGTAAGTAGTAATAATAATAACTCAGGACACTTCAGACAGCACCATCTAGTCACAAGCTAAGCAGAGTTGTATTGAATAGTTTTTTTTTAGTTAATTATATACATAGAAAACACCAAAACTAATATAAACAAGCATACTGTATGAGAAATCAAATCTATGATCACCAGAACTGAGGGGGTATGCCAAACCTAGACCATTGAAGCCATCATACTAGAGTCCATATCTATTTTTTTTATATCAAAGGGGACAAACGAGCATGCGGCTGATCTGATTATGGTAAGTGATTACCGCTGCCCATGAGTACCTGCAACACCAGGGGAATTGCAAATATATTGATGGTCTTTTAAAAAAGAATAAACTCTTTTCTTGAAGGTTTCAATATTTATTTATTTATTTATTTAACTTTAATGCACACAATATAATATATAGTACAGTACACACAGTGGCGGACTTAACACCATGCAGCATTTTCTACCAGTCAACCATTGGCGGTGCAGAGAATAATTGTTGGCCGTGCAAAATGATAAACGTAAACAAAATGCAACAAAATATAAACAGAACAAAATATATATATATATACTTAATAGATACAATAATATATAACATAAATATATACAAATATATACATATATATGCAATAAACTTAAATATATACCAAATAGTCTGATAGTCACAGAAATAAAGAGAGTTAAATGGGAAAAAAAGAGAACTCAGAGAAGAGAGAAAGTTATAAATTCAGATAATATGTTATAATAGTTATAGTTTACTAATAATAATAGTTTACGTTTCAAAGAAAATTTATTCGTAGCAGTATTGATATCAAGAGGTAAGTCATTCCAAAGTTTGATTGCCTGAATGGCGACTAAAGAATAGTGGAAGAAACCGGACAAATGAGCCGGGATATGAAGTAAAAAATTTCTGGTTGTGCGAATACAGTGATTGGTGTTGTACCCATAGAAATGAATTTCAATATCATATTGGTTCAGAAATACCATTGCTGGTGTTTCCGCACCAATACGATGGAAAGGAACGGTGGAAGATGATTCCACAATATGGTTGTGCATGGCAAAAAGTTTCTAGAAAACCGCACTGTGGAGGATCGCCATTCATCCAGGTGATCAGGATGGTATTTTAGTTTCTGGCGGGTGGTACGGTGGTGAAACTCAGCAGTTGGTATTCAACCGAACAATTCCTCAGAACACTCCCCGTGATATATGCGATAGAAAATGCACAGAGATGCAATATCACGACGCAAAGCCAATGGGTCGAGTCTGTCACATAGACGATGATTACCAATGATTCTGACTGTTCGGTTCTGTTTATTTGTAACATGTCATTGATATGCAGAAGAAATAGAGTCGGAGATAGCAGACAGCCTTGAGGAACACCAGCATTCACGGAATCTGGGTCGGAACAAGAACCATCGACAACGATCTTGATGCTCCTATCAGCGAGAAAGCTGGCAATCCATTTGCATAACTTCGCAGGCAACCCGAAGCATGGTAGCTTTGAAAGAAGAGCCTTGTGCCAAACCCGATAAGAGGCCTTCGCAATATCCTCTGCCAATCTGCTCAATAGCCTCTGCCCATGTGTCAAATACACTACAAATTCACCAGCTTAGCGACCCTGGGGAAAGCCATACTGACGATCAGAAATCAATTCGTTCACTTCTATGTATCGTAGGAGTTGACGGTTGACAATCGACTCCATGGTTTTTTAGAATTAGGATGTGAGGCTATGGGCTATAGTTAACTGGATCTGAGCGATCTCCCTTCTTAGGGATCGGGTGAACCAAAGCCGTCTTCCAAAGTTTCGGGACTACACCAGAGAGTAGTCGAGTAGCAGTACCGAAAAAGCGTTTTTACCGGAGTCTACTCGGGTGCACACGTCCAGAGCACAATAGCAGGAATACCGTCAGGCCCACTCGATTTATGGATGTCTAGGGAGAAAAGAGACTTGCGTAACCAGCTTTTGGGTAAATTATACCTCAGGCATAACAGTTTCACACCGCGAGATGACTGGCGGTGATTGCTCCTTATTGTCCAGTGTCGAGTTGGATGCAAAAAGAGAACCAAGGAGATCGGCCTTTTCTTTAGCATGTTAGGTCAACGAGTTATCCTCTCTGCGCAGTGGTGGAAAAGATGGCTGACAGAAATTTCCCTTAGCAGCTTTGGCAAGAGACCAAAAAGCCCGGGAACAGATGGAGGACTGTTTAGTCTCTTACCAATTCTACTGATGTGCTCCGACTTTGCTGTGGCTGTAACTCTTTTGAAGGACCTGGAAGCGGAGTTATACTTTCTTTTAAGGGCATTGGCTTCTGGATCACTCGACTTCACAGCTGCAATCCTGGCACGGAAGCATTCCTGCTTACGGTTAGACGCCGATCTACAGGATCGGCCATACCTGGGAATTCGGAATAAAAATCTCCATTCCCTGAAGTACTACATCGATGACAGATTCAGCTATTACATCAGGATCGTCCAGTGCGAAGCAAACTCGCCACTATGGGTAAGATGCAAAAAAACTTCGCATCTCATCCCAGGCTGCCGACTATAAATACCAAACACGACGTCGACCAGTAGATCGCGGCAAAGAAGGACGCGTGAGACTCGGACGTTTTTTGGACCATTTGGACGTGTTCAATGAGTCGATCAGTTTCGATGTTACCGCAATGGGACCTGTATAAGCATGCATAAATGCGGAGATGGTCATCACAATCTACACGCAACCATAAAATGGACAAGTCACCTTCAAGTCTTGTTGTCGCCGACTTGGTACACCAAGTCGGCGACAACAAATATCCTCACACACTGGCCCGTGGAATAAAATGATGTTCCAATTTATATCCAGGGTAGGTCAGGTACGAAATTTCATCGGGACAGGATATTTACGTCTCCGTAAGGAAGAGCAAAGCTGGCCTCGCCGTCTTTAGGTGGTGATGGACGGCGTTGAGATTGGAATGAATGCCCCTGATGTTGCAAAACTGACTATGAGCAAGCCAAACGCCGATGAAGATTTGCTCGGTTTCCTATTGGCCAAATTGAGCGGAGTATTGCCCACCCCAGAATACGCAGGGCAGCCTGAATGTGGTCTCTCAGGGGTGGATTCTCCAGTAACCATCCTACCATCCTGGGGTAAAAATCTTTTCTATTCCTCTGTCATGGTATGTAAGAAAGGGGTGGGTAGGGCGAGGCAGTAGAAAAGGGATAGAGGGGAGCGGCAGGGGCGTCCGGAACCCACAACTCACCATGCGAAATGTGATAACGCTTATTTCCCGTTTCGAGCGGCCCATCGAGCTGAACAACCATGTGTGATTATTCAGCTCGATTGGGCCATCGATTGGTACAGCTTGCTCTGTCATTCAAGACTACGGTTTGGTTTTAATTTTTTTTTTTTGGAAGACTAGTGGCCCACCTTCATTTTTAATAGATGCAATCTGATTTAACTTTCAAAGCAATTTAGCGATTTCAGAGGTTAGTTTCCTCATCAAAAATAATTATTTCTTTCCCTTTATTAGTAAAGATTCAATCTAATATATTATTTACTTATTTTTATCCAATGTATAAGTGAATACTATAAAGTTATTTGTTCATTTTTCGAGTACCTATTTGAACTGAGAGGAATTCTATAATAAATTAATTTATTACAATATGGTATATAATACGAATGGAGTAACAGCGATGTCAATGTAGATATGTGCCAGCAGTTTTTTCTTCTATCATCACTAGATTGTCCAACGAAATTTCGCGACCAATTTTAATAACATAAATAATGTATGTAAATACTTTCGTGTTTACGAAAGTTTAAAAATAACTGTTAATAACAAGACAATTCACACAGCGCCATCTAGTCCCAAGGTATGCAGAGATTGTGTTATGGGTTGGGCTCGATAATATATATATATATAGTTAGAACTTTATTTATTTTTGTAAATACATGCTTATGTATGTATTATTATGATGATACTATAACAATCTCATTGTTATTATTATCATCATCATCATCAGGTATTACCGTCGAGTCTCACTCGCACTCAGTCACTGTCGAGTAATTACGGGTTTAGATTCGTAGAATTCACCTAAGATGCTATAATTTAGTCATGCCAGGTTTTGAATGAAATACGGGGGCATGCTCTTTTTTACACCCCATTCCACTAATGTCTTGAAAGGGGCGTCATATTTTGGAATGAATACCCAAGTATAATTAATATATCCATCCTTTTTAATAATTTATATACCTATAGTAATTTTGATATATAAAAATTATAAAATAAATATCTCTTTCGGAAATAACGTCACGTGGGATCAATTAGTGATATGTTAGTGTCTACGTGGCACGTGCCACGTGCCTTAACATACCTATTCCGAATAACCCTGTAAACAAAGTGTTTGTTCTTTACTTTTTCTCTTGTCTCATCTAATAATTAAAATAAAGAAATATGTATAATTCGTTAATTTTAATAATTTTCACAGAGCAGTGATAAATTGGAGCTTACTGAAAAGTTAGCAGCTGAAAAATATTTAAACAGGGAACTAACCATTAAATTGGCTGAAATTGATGAAAAATCAAAAGAAATGTATTCAAAATTAATGGCCAAGGATGAAGAAATGATTAGATTACAAAACACTTATCGTACCCTTGAAACAGAATTTGAAAAATTATCTGATGAAAGAAGGATGTCAGAAGAAAATTTAGCTGATAACCATGAGGCTGAACATAATAACGAGACAGCGCTTTTAAAAACCCTTGAAGTTAATACTACAGATAACATAAATAAATGCACATATGATTGTTGCAGTGATGAACATCAACAATTTCTTATACAGTCTACAACAAAAAATGATTTTACTACTCCCAATGATGACGCAATGTTAAAGCTTCAGGATCGTTTCTTAAAAATAATGAAGGAAGTTGCAGATTTATCAGATGAAAAGCATAGACTAGAACATATAATAATGCAATTACAAAATGAAACTGACACAATATGTGAATATGTAGCTTTATATCAACAACAACGAAGTCTGTTAAAGAAGCGAGATGACGAAAGAAGTGCTCAAATTAAAATTTTCCAAGAAGAATGCAATAAGCTTAAAAATCAGATAGAAGAATTGAGTGATATTTTAACAAGATTTGCTGAAGATAAGGAATTAATATCTTATTTTCAAGAAGAATCAAAACGCAAAGAATTACAAAAGGTGACTAAATTAATTTTGCATATTAAGAATAACTGTTTAATAGACCCGGAAAAGAGTAATGTAGATTTCAAAAACTTTTACCCATGTAATTGTTGTTCTGGTAAACTTATTGAAGTGTAATACGAAAATATCTTAATACTTCCATTTTATTGTTAAATTAGATGGTATGTAAAAGTACAAATATCTAGCATGCTTGCCTAAATGTCGAGTTTTCAAAACATAATATAAAAATGGGAGTTTTATAGGAAATATTATTTTATAGACTGCAGTGAACATAATTTACAAGTGACAGTGACCTGTAAAATGAGTCGTGAATTAAATTAAATATCACTAATAATTTTATAAGTACAGTAAGTAATAATAATTAAAAGGTATGTAATACACGTGCCTAAAATAAAGAGTTAGTCGTAGATTCAGAAAATTATTAATTCATTCGTTCCAACCTCAAAAACATCGTAATACCGTGATAACTTTACATTACACGACACGTTCTGTCATGAGTGACTATGCACACTATTGAACGTAGAAGAGAGCGAGAGCGCAGTCATAAGTTATTGTTTTTATCTACTGTTTGTGTTATGACGCTTGTTTTTAATTAATTTTACCTTTATAATCAGTTGTCTTTGGTAGCTACTATAAAGGAGCAATGAACTGACGTACCTAAATAAAGAAATATCGGTGTTATTCTATTTTATTAATTTTAATATTATCTCGACGTTTAATTAATTTAATAGCCTGTAGCTCTGATTGTAGATATTTTGGCATCACCTTAACATGTTATTTATTTGGTTATTTGATCATTCGGAATGTATTTATTCTAGGTTATCTAAATCTGTAAAATGGGGCATTATTGAATTCATTGCTGACTTTGTCTAAACTGATTGTAGACCTCTAACAGTTTGTTGTTGTTGTTGATCACTTATATTATGGCTTAGTTCTCAGATTCTTGCTGATTACTGAAAACTAAAATGTTCTGTAAATCTCGATACATGGCAGTTTTATTATTTTATTTTTATTTATTTATTCATTTATTTCAGGCAACTAGGCCCATATTATAAATACCTTATAGACTAACATACATATAATATAATATTTAAAAACTAATACAATAATATTGTCTGTGTGATCACGGCACTGAAGATGGCAATCTGCCACGGTAGCGCCGATACACCACACCTTTCGGCCAGTAGTCCTCTTTCATGAAGGTGGGCAGCAAGTCGGTGGGGACCAGGGCCACAAACGCTTTGAAACTCGCGTTGTGACTCGACTTCAGCTGCGTTACCCTCAATGTCAGGTTACTCTTGTTACGAATATAATCGACAATGTCCTGCTCCTTAGTGGCGTAATGTAGACGGGACAGGTACATTGTCGTGGTCGGTGTAGCAGCACGCAGCAGAAAGTTGGGCCCAGTGAGTGCAGTGCCACAATGATTTCTATTGACCTTGTTTGTGCGCCTCTTCTTTTGTACCACGACGAAGCCATCATCGTCGCGGTTGCCAGTGGCAGCACACGTAGGGTCAATGTTCAGTGCCGTTTTTGGCACACGCCGCTGTACTGAAGCAGTCGGTTTGCTAGCGACGACGGCGGCAAAATCTCGACGCTGTGGTTGCACCGAGGATTTTGTTAGCGCTGCTTCCACATGCAGCGGTATCGGCGCTCGCGAGCTGCGGACGGGGAGCACGGGGGGCGCGGCGGCCGGCGGTGACACCACATCTGGTGACGTCAGTGTCGACGCCGAAACCGCTGACTCCGCCGTGAACGCATCGCGGCATGCCCCACGGCGCGTGTTGATGTTCGTAGCGTCAAGTGACCTAGTTTCTTTTCGCGAGTCGCGCAAACTGTCCACTTCCTTGCGCAACTCACTAATTATGTGCTCTGACGCATTGAAACGTAGCGTCACATCTGCCAAACTCTTTTTTAAGGACACGATATCCTTGAGTAAGCTGGTAACATCGACGTGATCAAATGTGACTGGAGGAAGTTTGTTTAAATCCTTCGCCACAAAAGTTGGCACGTCGTCTGGATCGGTCTCCTTCAGCAGCGTTATAATGTACTGTACGCTTTTTTGTGTCCCGTCACGTCTACGAGACACCATCTGATTAGTCTTATTTAGGGACTCGAAGAGCAGATGCTCTCGCGATGTCGTCCTGGCTGAAGTTGGACACACAGATCTGGACTGCACTTACTTCGTCCATTACGTCCAGCTTCTGCTGCAGGAACGCAAGGAGTTCGTTGGCCACAAGTTTGTCACACATGGCTGGAACTTCGACTAGCACGGCTTATGCCGCGCTGAGCAATTACGATATTAAATAAAATAATTATAATACGTGCACATCGGATCGCGCTTACACTGAGATTTTGCATAACCTTTGGAAATAATTAAATAAATAACTATTCGTGTTACTAAGTTTTATTACCATGTTATACATACATATAACATGATTACTGTCATAAATAGGTAATAATACTATAAAATGTATGAATAATAAGTATCTGAAAACCTGTTATAGGATTTTTCTAGAAATGTGTAGATTATAGCATCATATATCAGCATATTGTAAGCTGTTGATTTTCTAATAAATAAATAAAAATTGTCATAAACTTAATAATAATATAACTTTGAATATATTAAAATATATAAATATAATTACTAGGATTATTAATAATATATAACAATACTTCATTTTGTATAAGTATCATGTTATCGTATATTTGAAATAAAGGCAATAAAATTGTTATTCACTTACAATTCAGCGTTTTTTTTTCATGATTTTATCGCATCTCAAATTTAGAATATATCTTTTATCGAGATACGGATTAGATACTAACAATCATAATGATATTTCTGAAATAGTATAGTATAGGTAATAATATTTGTTTACAAAATTTTTATTAAAGTTACTTTACTAAAAGATGATGAACTAAGAATGTCTTTGTTTTTTAGTAATTTTTTTTATTTTGAAATTATAAATTTTAAGCGCCCGTATATAGTCTGCAGAAATTATATAACAATATATTAGTCTAAGACATTTTACCAATGTTATTGAAATTTTACAATAAGTTATAGAATTAGAATTACTAAAAATATTATTGTTATTTGTAGCATGTCAACTACACATCAGTAAAAAAAATTAATACGTGCCAATAGTATCATGTAACATTGATAATAAATTACGAGCACGTATTTTTTACTTAGAAGGAATGTCCGGAGTTTACAAAGTATTTAAGTTATTTAATATTTGGCAACGTGTTAGTTCTATAAACTAGAAAGTTATGCTTTGTTTTGGTGTTGATAATTTTAGCTTAGACCAATAACGAAAAGCAATACACGCGATATAAGTACTTATATAGCGTTCATTGTTTCTCAGTGCGCCAATGATTTATGGAAGGACGGTTATGAAATCGGACTACTTAGTCTCTAATGATGAATTCTTCAGGTAGTGTGTAGTAAGTGAGTTCGCCCTCCCCTCCAGGTATTTATTATCTAAGCTACAATACGGTAATATTTTTTAATCATTTAGTTATTTATTACTTAGAATGGTAATGATATTTATTACTTAGAACTTTCACATTCCATTTGGCTCACATCACAACATCTAATTAAACTATTTATGGACTAAAGGTTTTTCCGTCTTGTTTGGGACCTGCAAAAATATAAAAAGATTAAGTATTTTTATTTATTTATTTATATATAATAATAATTATGATTTTTAGCTAACCTACAAATTTGTGTACTTAATATTTTTACTGATCATACATATACTAAATTCCTTAAAATGAAATGTAACAGAGTGTATACTTACTTTCATTCATTCTTCTTAGGACTAGCAATATTCGAGTCTTTGGTTGGCTGAAATATTAATAATTAAATTTTTAATGTTGTTAAGAAAGAGCAGTCTTGAACTAAAGTAATATAATTGTGCTATAAATGAGGGTATTAATCTAGAAACTATTAAGAACAAATACACTTTTCCAGCCTACTGGTTTCTTTTCCTTCATGTGCTCGCGAGTAGAAGTTATAATTGCCGAAAGGGTAGATTTTATATAGGATCCATATGGAATTAAATTTAAGGTTTACAAATAAAAGTAAAAATCCGTTCAATTTCACACATACGGGTTACATGTGGTACCATGTAGTACCCGTCGCCTACATATATAAACAGAGACAAGGACATCGTGTTATCATGTCACACCCGTGTTATCACTTATGAGTTGCTATTTAGGAGCAGTAAGATGACCTCCATATCCTATAATTTCATTGCCTTATCTCCACCCATCAACCGAAACAAAGTATAAAGCAGCGGCTGAAATAGGCGAGACTAAATTATTTTTTTACAAAATCTACCTCTATTACTGGTCGACATTTTGAAATTTAGGCCTGAATCTCACCTCAAAATATCTATGGTATAACACCACTCCATAAACACAGCCAATTGATACTAAAATTTGAATTATTAGCCATACAATAACATTGCACACTTGAGCTTGACCAAATAGTTCTTTGCCATTTTTTATGCATAGCATTGATTCTGTAACCATTATGGCACCATATACCCAACATTGAGTTCCAACTCTCTTGCAGTTAGGGTCCGTCACATAAATATAATACTGTCTGAAATAAAATATTGTAGATAGCTATTAAATATACAATATGCTTATAATAATAATGTTATTTATCTCTTTTTGCTGTAATTTACAGAGATACAACAGAATGGAGTTATGCCAACAGAAAATAGGCCCTACATTAATGTGACTAGAATTCCCTCATATATGGCTATAGATACGGTATAATTAAGTTTTTTTATAAATAAGTCAATTACAGATAGTAAAAATAATTATTAAGGTTTAGAAACTGAGTATACCATCCATGTTTATAACCATATACTATATCCGGTGAATTTTTAAAAAAATAGAAAATTATTGGTTCAAATCAATTTTCATCTGTATGTATATTTCTTATTAGAAAATTATGTATTCATATAACTAATAGTACGGAACAGTAATCAGACGCAGTACCTGACAGATGGAGCAACAATGACTCCAACCAGACAAAGTCGTGCAATAACCAGGGGATGAGATGGTGGCATTTCAAATATATGTTTAAGGAAAAATGTATTCAATTCTGATATTTGCCAAAATACCACTAGTTGACTTAGTGCAAAAAACCTCATATAGGTACAAGTTGGATCCAGCCACCGTACCGGACTCCATTGCACTGGTGTAAATTGGAGTATGGCTCTTTTTATTTTTCCAGTTGTTGACGATATATCCCTAAAAATTTTTTTTATAACACTTAATTTCAAATACAATTAAACCCTGTGTGTTACATAATATTAAAAACTTAATGAAGTATAATGATACTCTAAAATTGGCTTTCATATCGAAATAAATATTTAATTATTATTTTGCTATGATACTGGTGAAAAAGGGTCTAATCAATCTCTTATTAGACTTTTACTTTGTCACAAAAATAATGAAAATTTCATTAATGACAACATATGAGGAGTACCATTCGTGCCCCCTGTGTATTCTGAAGCATCCATGGTGTTATGTCTATAGGCTGTTTTACTTTACTTACTTTCCAGTAGGTTAGGCATCAAATTGTCAACCCCAGTGATAATAAAGTACCTAAAATTTATTCAACAAAACTTTTTGTATTATGATAAATGTTCCTTACCTTATGCTAACCCATTTATATTCTCTCATTTCAAGTACTTGACATATTTTAAGTCCACACCATATACCTAATCCGTTACATATAAGAACATCTAGAACAATAGAATCCCACCAACATTCTAAAAAGTTTGGAAGCAAATGAGCAAATGCTATTTCAGTTATCTCCCACATTATTGATATTGCCCATAGCAAGCCGCCGTGTCTAAACAGTAAAGCCTTGAACATCCATCCAAAAAAATGACCCCAAGCAAAAACATCCACATGAGACCATACTTTGGCTATACTGATATCTGAGCAATTGACAGCATATTCCTGAAAAGATACCAACAGCTTTAGTTAATATAATACATAACAGATAATGGTTTCACTATCTGTTAATCAAAATATAGTGTTAGTAACAATTTCTTAATATGTAATGTTAGTAGGAGAAACACATAAGAAATGACAAATGTACACTACACATATCAATCCCGAGACCCATCCACTCCTCCAACTCATGTTTATTTTTCTGTATGGAGATATATCTCTGGGTATGATACCTGACCATGGTCACACTGAACCACATACAGATAAACCTGACTTGGCACTTGACACTCCAAGTCTAAAAATCCAAGGTATGCTCCATGAATTTATCATAATGGCTGGGCATGAGATCAGGTCAGGTCCTGATCTCATGCCCATATACTGGTGTCTCTCCAGTCTAAATCGTGAGCACAGGTAGTTTCATTATCATTAATAAAAAAAACCTTGACATTTGCAGAGAATGATAATACCGTAGGTGGAAACCATATTAATAAAAAGAATAATTTGAAAACAATATGAGAATTTTTCCAAATTTGTATGTTAGTGAAAAATGGTTTTACATTAGCATAGGGTAGCATCGTACCCATAATGTAAAATCGCTAACTAATCTGATTTTGTATATTCTTTATGAGTTAGTTATCATCTGTATAAAGTTGCAAGATAACTAAGGTTTTTAAAATAACAATAATAATAATTTCAGCTAATAACTAGTGTCAATTTTTAAAACTACCGTTATTTTATTTTAAATAAAGTAACTTCAATATATAACATACTAATACATGAATACATGTAAAATTAATCCCATCAAAAACATAAATGTGAAATGATAGCCGAGTATAATATTATGATATATGCCTTGATTGTTGACTTCTACGACAAAAGAGGTGAGATCTAAATGGGTGCCAAGTTCAATGGTCTGTCCTGAAATGTATTTATAACAATATAAAATATCATTTCTTCTTATAACTTAGGATAATATACTGTAGCCTAAGGTCTAACTTGGCCAGTTCTCATATACCAATTATTACTTTCGATTGCTAGTTACTACTAATAATAAAATAGGAACCGACAAGTAACTGTTGTAAATGTTTAGAACTTGCGAAGGCTACAGTATATTTCGTATATGAAAACTTAAGGGGTTAACGTAAATTGGTAAAGATCGACGTTTTCATACAATATTACTTTCTGTCCAGTACAAGATGATCTCTGGTAGCCAGTGATGGATCAAAGTTAATTGGTAGCTATTGACGTTTTCATACAATATTACTATCCGTCCAGTACGAGATGAGCTATTTTTGCCAGGGATCAATGTTCATTGGTGGCTATCGACGTTTTCATAGAATTTTAGTATTCGTCCAATATAAGTTGAAATAGAATCAATTAAAGTGAAAAATTATAATAAAATGATAACAATTTACCAGTTTCAGATTTTTTCCTTTATATTCACCTAATTACCTATCTGCATGCCAAATTTGAACTTCCTAGGTCATCTGGAAGTGGGTTATAATTTTGATCTATAGTTGATCAGTGATAAAAATGACGATATTTGGACATTAATATCTAAATAAACGTTTGAGATATGTTTATGAAATTTAGAACACATATTTATCTTGCAAGTCTCAATATATAAACCAAATTTGACAGGTTTATGTGAAAGAGTTTTTGAGTTATGAGGGGGTCAAAAGTGGCTCCAAATGGTTCTCATAAATATACACATGGTGCTGCTCGCCAGTTACTTGAAACTCGGCTTGACACGCTACCGCGTGTCTAGATTTCTATGTATTATATTTTATGCAACTAGGTATGTGAAATTTTATTTTATATTGTAATAACTTTAAATAATATTGTTTTATCTATAGTAAATTTACTTTATTAAAATATAAGTAATAGTAGTAATAATCCCTCATACTACATACTATTGGAGTTGTAAAAGTATATACATATACAAATTATAAGAACTGTAAAACCAAGATAGTTGATTAACTTACCTTATCCATATCTATGTGAAAATTTCGAAGGTTAGGGTCAATCCAATACATTACTTCATACACTGTGGAGTAGCTTTGAAATAACAAAAATAACAGTGCCAGTAAATAAAGAACTGACATTCCGAAGACTATTCTCCAGATGGCTGGATGTGGCCGTGTAAATGGTCCATTTGGAAAAGTGAGCACAGACACAATAAGAAAAAAAAATATCACGCAACATATTCCTGACCATATGTTATCCTGAATGCTTGACTCATCTCTATAAAGAAAATAAACAGATTTATATATAAAGCTGAATACTAGGGATTTCATTTACACAGGTGTATCATATTGTAAAGTAATTGTGTATAATCTATATTATGTTATAGGCCAATAGCTGATAATTAGATATAGAGTGGTATGCAAGACATGTATTAGATATTGCTGATATCATTACATTCACATAATTCAATGATATATATTAGTACTATTAGTTATGACACAGACAATATTTTCCACCTATTTTATTAGAATGTAATGTTAAACAATGTTAATATTTAAAAGAGAAATATGATGAATCTTCATTCCAAATGTGTTGTAGAGTAAGAATAAATACTGTAACAAAGGTGCTCATATTAAGTTAATTTGAATAAAGATAAGTAATCTTTATTCAATTATTTTTTTCTATTGTTTAGCAAATCAAATATATCTAATATTGGTTTGTTAACACTCAATGTCAAACACTTCATGTCTTTATTGTTTTATTGCAAACAATTGTATGTTATCGGCTAACCCTATTGGCCAATAGAGAAACTAGTTTAACCTAGGCACACCTAACCTAACAATAGCTGGAATTAGCTCCACTAATGCATTGCTAGTGTAAACCATTAGCGCAGGCGGGTCCATCATTCCATTATCATTCATAAAAAAAAATAGCTGGAACTATCATGGAGATTGTCCAACTAGCACCCCAAACTATCGTAACAATTCATTCTGGTGTTTTAATGTCCCTTATTTATACACTAGGCTAACCACTAAATCCTTAAGCATACTTATTCAGGATATACTGGTTTAGGCCAGTATATAGTATTAGGCTTAAATAGTTCAGCCTAGGTGAAACTAGTTCCTCCCAAAATCGGGTTTGGCTAGTAACATATACATTCTACTAGTACATATGAATTAATACCTAATAAAGGAGAAATATCACTTCCTTATTAACTACAGTTAAATACCAAGTATAGTTATATTACCTATGGGAGATTTATAGTTATGGAGCTAAAATTATCATTAAGATATTACTAGCATTATATGCAATGAAGTCAACTAGGTCATGGTGAGTTTCTAGTGAATTCGGCATATTCTAACCTGATTTCATCCTTCACTGGGGTCCCGCTAGCTTATACCGACAGCAAAGCGGTGCTCATATATTATGTCTTAAAACTAAAAATTCGTACTAAATGAAAAAGTACTTCGTCATAGTTTTAATTCAATTTATTCTAATTAGGGTTCTGTTACATCATTGTACGGAAAGAAACAATGGTAAATGAGAAATTTAATATGGTAATAATACTAACTTACCTAACAAATGCTGTATATATAACTGAAGCTATAGACACTGCCAAAAGTGTAATTGTATGGGGTTTATAAAAAAATTCCAAAGATATATCATCGACCGGTCGCTCATTTATGGAGCTAAATGCATCCACATACTCGGTATTTGCTGCAGACATATTTCTTTTATTTTTCTTCATTATTAATTAGGTAGAGTATTCATAAAATAATCAATCCGAAAATGTAAAATTAAATTCATTTTAAGAAAAGATATTACATTAAGTATATTATTGTATTAAGTTAACAGACGATCATACATTAAGACATTTTTGACTAAACAGAGGTTATTTCAGGCCACAGACCAGGTAGGTCAGATCATAGAGCAATAACACCACAGATCAGACGAGATATAAAAGTAACAAACACGACTTATAAGAGTTACTAATATGAAGAATTCCCCCTGTAATACTTCAAAAAAAAGAATATTATATAAATTATCATCTTTCACGAGGCAGAACAAAACTTCGTCAATCATTTCTTCGGGCCGAAAACTTTTAAAAGGAGAAACTTGTATTTTAAAGCCTATAGCTTAATTTTTAGTAATTTTATAGACTAAATTGACAGAAGTAAATGTCAAATTTTCAAATAATGTTACCAGCTTTTATGGTCGTTGACTAAAGTTAAATAAATAATTAAATACTATAAGACTTGAAGAAAAGTCTTATAATCTTTAATTATTTATTTTCGTATTGAAATCGTCTTTACATCGTCTTACGTCGGCGTCGTTCTGTCAACTTGTTCAATTCTTGTTTTTTAAATAAAAGTATAATAAAAATGAAATGCATAAGTCATCTTTCCACACACACACATATATATATACTAGATGAAAACCCGGCTTCGCTTGGGTAGATATTTCGGTAGTCATCGGTTCTCAAAGAATATTAAAGGCAAGCAAGGCATAGATTCGTAAAGCTTCGTTCATTGTGTTTAATAAATACGTGTATTAGTATATTAGTATATGGTAAATAATAAATGCAAAAGTATTTATACAAATAATTTTTATTTTAAATCAACATTCAAAATAAATTAACAAAACATATAACTTTTAAGGTTTATTCTCTGTTAACCTCTTTGTTTTAAGCACTCTCTACTTTGCCAGATATTTAAAACCAATTGCTTCATCCAACCATCTTTCCCATTCTTGATCGTCATTTTCAATAAAATTTTTTATTTGGTCCGCGCGACTCTCCGGTATTTGCCGAGTTCCTAGTTTTGTCGCTCTTTCAGTACGACGACGTGGTCCACCACGTCCTTTTCTCCTTCTTCCTCTTTTTCCTATCCATTTGCTCTTCCTTTCAACCTTCCCTCTCGTCCCGCGTTAGCCATTTGCTATGCTCCCACTCTGGGGTCGAGCCCCCATAAACATGCGGGGCTTGGGGCTACAGGGACATCAAGTAGCTTAGTAATTAATTTGTAAGTGCCATACTTGGTTATAGTTTGTTTTTTAATCCGGGAGACTAAATTGACAGGTTTAAATGTCAAATTTTCAAATAATGTTACCTCCTCGGCTGTATGGGCGCAGTTCCCTTTGCCTTTCCGATTAAGGATAAACAGAACAAAAAAAATGTTACCACCTGTAGCGGGGTAACCATATCGATTTGTTTAATCGGAAACTTTTATTCTAACAAATTAGTTTTAAAGTTTAATATGACGTTTCCATAACAGAATTTTATAGTTTACGTACATATACTAATGTTTCCACTACTGTTGTAGTGTTATACAGAAGAAAAATATATTTTTGTCGTTTCCGTACAAATAGTAATTTTTACAGTATTAATCTACAAACGAACATTTTTTTCTTACAAGCAGTTAAATAATATATGACACTATGAAAAGGTCATTTGGTTTATAAAAAAGGCAGTTAGTCTTTATTTTAGTGAAAAATAACAAAATCTATTTTGATCATTAGCACTGATTAAAGTGTAATTAAGTATTGGAAAATAACAAAATGAGTAAATATATGAAAATTACTTTTCTAAACGCATTATTTCATTTTAACATGTATATAACTTTTTAAAAATTGATTAAACATTTTTGAAAACACAGTTTTGTTTTTTAAAACGTTTGCAAAACTATGAAGAATTCCATCGATACCAATCACGCCATCTATATGCAACTTTTAGCAATAATAATGGCTACTTCCTCATTGAGTGCCACTGATTTTGATACAACAACCATATATTTATTAATACCTTTATTAATTTTGTGTTAATGCTTTTTAAATAAACACCCACACATTATTTCCGTATAACCTATAAAAATGGGTAAATAACATTAATTTCCAATAGGGCCACAACCTTATTTAAAAAATGCAACTGGCATTATGTGTGTAATAATAAAATGTGAAGAAATTGTTATTAAGAGGCCTATTACAAAATGATGCCGCTCAACTTTAGGTTTAATCGCATGGATTTACGCACACACACAGTAATACACGCACACAGACGCAAATAACCGTGTAGCTCAATCGGTGTGGATTTAGTATGAACCATTTTGATCCTTGTAATATTTTAATTAATAATGTGATATGTTTCTACTTAACTAAGTAACATAAACTACTTATTGTATTTTTTTAAATAACGTGATTTATCTTAATTATCAAAGTGCTAATAATGACCATATTTTTTTATCATATTATTCCTAGAGGGTTGATGTCAGGATGCTGGCCGATTGTACAACTAAAAGCCAAAACCTTAAGTAATATGAGTAACAAATAATTGGGACAGGAAGACGAAATTACTATAACATAAATTTACTAATTAATTCTTCTTACGTATTAATTCAGTTTATTTATTAATAGATACAATATAATTTATTATAAGAGTCGGATACATTATTGCCATATTCACTTGTTCTAAATATTATACTTAGCAAATAATTATTTTATTTATATATATTAGTTGTGTTTTCAAGGCTTTGTTTTGATTTAAAGGTCCCATCCTTATATGTATATGTATAGGTGTGTCCGCGACTTCGTCAGCGTGGTATAATGAAATTGACCAAATAAAGGAAATATATTTAGATTATAACCTAAAAAAGTTTCTTTGTTTCACTTAAACAATGACGATACTTTTATACAACCTTTCATCTCCGCTTTTAATCCCTTACAATACTTTTTTCGCACTATAAAGTAGTCTATGACCTTTCTCAGGGTATACTATCTGTGTATATGTATATCTATCTATATAGACTACCTGTGTATATATATGGTAGTGAATTTACAAGGTACAGGGGAATAACACCCGAGTTTTCAGGAATGGCAACGCATGAGGGAAACAATGTGCTGATATGAACATGTCAGGTACTGCTCATGTATATAGGCTACGGTTACCCCTTTCCATCAGGAGAGCCGTCAGCTTGTTTGCCATTCTAAGTTGTAAAAAAAAAGCTTCAACTGCTATCATTGCTGTTCCTGCATCATTGACGTCGCCGCATGATATTGGCTGATATTGCAGCTTCTCGTTCTTGGTTGGCCGATTCTTGATTCTTGATAAATAATTAATTGTTAATGTCAAACCTTTTTATAAATTATTATAAGACGCCTCATTGATTATATGTAATGAAATCACCATGAGCTATAGAGATTTTGGACAGAACCTTAAAAGACCTTAGAAACACCTCTGCTCTCATTGGCGGGATTACTTTTATACTTTTGCTGGAGATTTCTGAAAGACTCTCTGTGTCATTAACATCGTCTCCCTTATGGACTTTAATTGAAAGTTTAAAACTACTGACAAATTTGAGAGCTCATTTTTATGGAAGCACAGATAGTGATTTCCCACACTAAATGCTCAAACTTGAGGAAGGAATTTCTCAAAAGCATGATCCAGTCATGAAATTTAAGCCCGCCGAACATGTGCAATGGCGTCCCATTGGATATATTGCTTACTAAAGAATTGAAAGACAATTTAATTGTAGACCATTATAACCGGTACGTTAGCTGGGCAACCAGCTTATATACCAAGAATACCGATGATTCCAACTGATCTGCCAATACCATTTTAACGGCTTCAATTTCCGGTTAAAATATCATCTACACATGTAATAGATCTATGTATGTTTTGATCTTAAAAAACTACGCAGATTTTGATTCGTTGTTATTTAATAGACAGAATAGATAGACTCAAGAGGAAGGTTTATATATAACGTCCCAATACTGTACACGGATCTTTAAACGCGCGATAACCTATATATTCCATATTCACGCGGGCGAAGCCGCGAGCTAAAAGCTAGTCTCTAAATAAAAACATTTATAATGTTGTTGACTTTTCACCCAAACACGCATAATTATTTGACATAACTGTACAGTAATGAAAGTCCAACGAGTATAATAACAGAATAGCTGCAATTTAGAAATATCTGTATTGTGTAAAATAAAATAAAATTGGATAAAATATCTCTAAACATTAAGGAATATAATTTATATATAATTTGGTAATTTATTTACAATCCACATTGCATACTAGATGATATACACTATATAACACAAGACAAATGTACGTAAAAATAATAATGGTATTTTTATAAACAATAACCCTATTTTAATTTAGAAAAAAAACTACAAAATAAACATAGAGTAAAATTGGTTTACATTTTCTTACATTTTTCTCTCAGATAAGCGTTATTTTTAAAAATACTAAAATGTTCTCTTTTTTAATTTTAACAATTAATTGCCATTAGTGTGACGAAATACCATGCTCTTGTGCTTTTCATAGTCCAGCAGGGTAGGTAGGTTTTATTTGTAGCATAACTGTACTTTTGTCTTGGCATGCTAAAATAAATATTATATATATATATATATATTTAACAACAACTTTAAATTAATATTCGTAGAAATAAGTATATATTAGCAAAATTAATTAAATATTACTTAAATTATCAAAATTGTTTAGTCGCTCTATACTAATGTTCACTGACCAATGTCTATCTTAGCGGTGTTGTAAAAAATGGCATAGGTCCTACCTCGACGAGCGCTAGCGCAGCACTGAGAATTTACTTTTGGCGCAACGGAATTTATACAACTTTAAATTATTATTATTGTTTATTTTTTTTCTTAGAAACTTATATTTTTTTTTCATATTTCTAATTTATAAGTATATTAACTTTATTATTATGTTTTTTTTATGCAAAAATTTCGTTGTATTTATGAGAAAATTAGAAATGATTATGGCAAAGTTTTGTTGAAATTTCGGGTTTAATTATGATCAATTTTTTATATTTAAGTTGAAAATGAAAAAAAGGACGATGCTGTCTCAATTTATAAAGTAATTATCAAGTTTTAGTAAAGATATCATATCAATTTATGTTTGTTTATTAATGAACGACGACCCCAAACTTCTGTCATTTAGCGTTTTTGAATAAACTATTTTAGAAATTAGGAAGACTAACAAAGAGAAAATTAACATTTCAAAGATGTTGTTTTTAAGATTAGATATCTATCTATATAATTCAGGAATCAAAATGTATATCCGACTCTT